TGTTTATACAAATGAAAAAGTATTTAAAATACAACGCTTGAAACTTTAAATGTTTTTATCGCCATATTTTTATTTAAAATGTATTCTTTTCTCTCACTTCGTCCGCCATTACTAGCATAAAAAAATCTCCGGTCGGGCCGCAATGCATTATGGGATATGCTGGGCCGGGAAGGATCCATCAGACCTGTCCTTCGATTCGGGCCAAAGGAAGGACGTATTTGTCGGCCACATCGGAGGAGTCTTCCGTTTTGGACATCCTTCGTCACGGCGCTGTGACGTATGCGGCCGACAAATTCGACCTTCGGAGGACCCGTCCTGCTGTTTTGGACACAGCCATCATTTACCTGCACAAACTGTTTCCTGTTTTCCAGATAACTATTTATTTCTTTATTTCTTTATTTATTTTTTTATTTATCTACTTAACATTCTTTAACCAGGCAAGTCCCGTTGAGATCTCAGATCTCTTTTTCAAGGGAGGCCTGGGCCTGAAGGCAACCTATCGTACGTGTTTTTTGGGGGGTGGGGAAAACCGGAGTACCCGGAGAAAACCCACGCAAGTTCAAGGAGAACATGTAAACACACAGAAAGACCCCAGGTCCAAACCGGGGATCGAACCCAGGACTTTCTTGCTGTGGGGCGTCGGTGCTAACCACTGAGTCATTGTGCCGCCAAACTAGAAACCCGCTGTTGTGCTGGACCTCTTATACCATATTTATTTAACTTTTCAAGAAGAATGGTGTACAAATGGCGTCAAAGGCTTTCTTTAAATCAACAAAATCACTAACACAATACTGTTTTTTGTCAACAGCTGTTGTTATTTGTTCTATTATGTCCATGAGAGCCATTGATATAGAATTTTTAGCCTTAAACTCATATTGACTGCTACTTGATAAATAAATCTAATCTAGTCACAAATAATTTTTCCAAAACTTTTGAAAACTGTGGAAACAAGGAAACTGTTGAATATTAGCTTCCTGCTAACTCCTAACAACAGGCAGTCTTAAATCTGATAAGGTTTACATCAAACAGACAGACAGGTAAAGACAGTTTTCTTCACCTTCTGGACGATGACAGGAACTTTGACGCCTGGAAACTTCTTCCTGTCGTTTTCCAACATGGAGTTCAGAGGGACACCAAAGACACCGCTGTCTGATGGACACAGGAYGGACAGATTGGGCTCATTTTTGATTCTGCAGAGTCACTATTTTCCTTACTTCTCTAAATTCCAGTAGTACCTCTGGCTACTTTTAAAGTCTATTGAGCATTCAGAGCAGGGCTCTTATGAGAAAATGATGTTGAATCATTCCAGCAGAGGTAAAAAGAACATCTGAACTAGTTATGGTCAAACTAGAACCATGTTATGTTTTTCTTTTGTCATTAAAAACCAGGAGAGATTTTAATCAGTATACACTGAAGGACCAATCAACAAACTAAATCAGAAGTCTGGTCCTGGTCCCCAGGGCCTACTGCATCCTTTAAATCTTTCTTCAGCAAACCTGATTGAAATATTGGAACCTTTAACACATCTTCAAGTTCTCCAAACCCAGTAATTGACTCAGTCATTTAAACATCTAGAACATGCAGGACAGTGGGTTCTGAGGAACAAGGTTGGAGGTCAATTACTTAAAGAACCAATAAAAACTATGTTGAATCCTGGACCTGAAGGTAGCCCAACATGAATGTTTGTTAAGAACATTTCTGTTGTGAAATGAAGCTACGTAAATCAGCTGAACTGATTTCCCTGACTCTACTAACCATCCTGTCTGGTTAGTCCTCTACTTCTCATCCTGTTTACCTGCTGTGTGTTGTCTCAAACCTGTGTTCGAACCGGGATGTAAAAATGAAGCGCACCCCGAGTCTTGCTGCGTGGTGGGCGGGTGCGCTTGGTTTGGATGCCCAAAGCCAGCAGGAAGGTAGAGAGTTCGATGTGAGAGATGAAGCTGAGTCGTGTGAGGTCATGTGATGACAGGTCGTCAATACAGGTGACATCCCATGATGGGGAGACAGGTGCAAACTGCACCAAAACACACACACACACACACACACACACACACACACACACACACACACACACACACATCACTGGGGAGATATCTTAGCAGGTCATACTCACCTGCAGCTCATCAATCCCATCTTTGTGGAAACGTAGACAGTCCCTACAAGTCCCACTTTGTTTGTGCTCAGCCACTATCTCAGAGTATGCCATGTCTCGCAGCAGCCAATCAACTGGTCTCAGCCAATTTACTGGTGGTGGGAGTGGGTGAGGAGGGGAGCGGGTGGGTGATGAAGACAACAGGTGTTCACACTGTTGTTCTTCAAAAACCAACATGGAAAGAGTGGGCCGCCCTGTAAACAACAACAAGAAGTACACCATCACGAGACATCTGAAACTGCTTCAGAGACCAATTTAAGCATCACTAGAACCACCCAAAAAGTCTTTAGATTCCTCAGAATATCTCTGCAATCATCAAGAACACAACTAGAACATATTTAACATAGAAACAAACTTGTCCTCAAGTCTGCAGAGGCCTATTAATTAGGCACTGCTTAGGTTCAGCTGAGTTGAACCAGGGCAGAACCTAAAACATGGAGGACACGCTGCTACAGATCAACCAAAGAGAGAATAACCATCCTGTAACTAACTATTGGGTCACTTCTGTCTAATGTAGGCTACAGGTCAAACTTGTCTTCTGGCATCTAGGATCTATGAAGGACCTGYAGAGGTACCTGAGGAAACACCAGAACACTAATTTCTTGAAGTGTGAAGAACCCTTTGTTAATGAAGTTTAGTCCGTCGATGCACACACTAAGGAATACCTCTGTTTGCTTTGCGACGGATGGTCTTGGTCGTGGTGTTGTATCGACTTGGAGATGACTCGACAGGATTTGTAGAAGAGGAGGTGCATCTTTCTGCTGAGTCGATTTCAATCTGAAAGTGACGGTTATAGTTGTACAGTTGGTTTGACTTGACAAAGTACTGTTTGTGTCCCACCTCAGTGAAGATATCCCGCACGTCTCTGATTGGCTGCCTGTTTCTTTTCTTCAGCGTCTCGTTGTAGTTGTCCAACCTCTTCCTGACCGTGGCAGCTTGGTGTCGTGTTAGTGTAGACAGCACGGCCTCAGCTGGTGGTGGAGCTGCCTCTGTTGATGAAGAACCCGTCACCAGGGAGGACAGTCCTGCCTCTGTCAGCCACACCTCGTCCAACTCCACCTCTGAAGGTCACAAAGCTGTGAGGGAATCGGACAGGAAAACTGCCTCTCTTTGCTGTCCTGCTGACTCACCATCAATACTCTTCCTCTCCTCTTCTTCCTCTTCTCCCTCCTGCTCCTCCTCAATGCTCTCCACTTCTCTCCAGTAGGTTTCCATGTTGACTTGTCGGGGTTTAGAGGGCACTGTGTGAGCTGGAGCAGAGGATGTGGGCAGGGAAGTGTTTGAAGWTGACAACATCCTGTAGAGATGGCAAGAGGATCCTGTCAGTCAATCAACAACGGTTTGTTTCTCTCCTGATTTTCAGTTTACTAATCACATTCAGAAAAATCCATAACTGCTTCTCAGTCACGAACAATGAGCTTTGGTTTTTGGTAACAGAACATTATACAACATGAAAGTCACCAAAAACTGTGAAAAATGTCCTCATAGACAACAAGCAAGTGGTAAAAGCCAGTCGTCTTTGGAGCTCTATGGGTTTTATATGATTCACAGTAGAACCATCATTCAAAGTTTAACATGTCAGCATCAGATTCAATCAGGGTCATCTGACCTAAAGTGACAACAGGAAGCTTGTAGCTGTAGGTGTGATGTTTCATCTGTGGCTTCACATCTGTGTTCAGAGCTGCCGGGCTGCAGGTTAACTAACATTAAATATTGATGAATTGTTTGACAGGAAATCAGCTCCCTCAGTTATTGATCAGTGTGTGTGCATGTGTGTGTGTAGTGGGAACCTCAGGCTAATGGTTTTTGTTCCCAGGGGACAACAGAGTGGGGCGCTCAGACTGACGTTGGCTGCTGCAGCTTTGTGTCCATTAGGAGGAAATGGATGCTGTCGACTAATCAGAGAGAAGTGTTTTTACTCAGGTTGTCAGATTGAAATCTGACCTGGTTGTTCTTCCAGCTGAGAGACATCAAATCTTCTGAAAAACTTTAGGTTCTGCAGCTTTGGTTCTAGTTTTATGAAACTGAGGTGTCTTATGTCAAAAAAGAATTTGGATGTTGAGTTCCACACTGGTGGTGGACCTCTGTCAACACTATGCTGACGTCTGACAGSTCCTTGTGGACAGACTTGTTTACCTCCACCTGAGCAAAAACAAATCTCAGGTGAAAATACAGCAACATCACGAGGTTTTGTTCTTCAAAACTAAGTCTCATCAGAAACAGGAAGTCTCTTGGATTTTGACATCTAAGATAGAAATGACTTATGTTACAGAAGACCAGAATTAAAATCATGAAAAAATACCAAACAAGCAAAAGGATGATTTCAACCACTCAGTGACACTCTGCTGCACTCTAAATCATGTTAGGAACAACCTAAAGAACCTGTACAACAACCTGATGTAGTTCTTTTCTAAAGTCAGTCCAAATATTCTTCTTTAAATTCCATAAAAAATTCAAATGTAGGGATAATTTTAATCAATAAAATCAATATCTTCATGGGTCTCTTGAACTCTTTAATAAAACATTAGAATAGTGAGGAACAACCAGAACCATATAAAAGGTCTACAGAACCACCTGACAGAATTTCCTGGTYTCACCTAAAAGTCCTTAAGGACCACTTTAGGCATCAGTAAARCCTCTTTAGCTTTTTTAATCTATAAAAGACCAGGATAGAAATCTGAACAAAWGAATATAAAACCAAGATCCAAACCAGAACCAGAGATCTGACCCTGATCTAACAGTACCTGTTACCATCGAATCAGTTCTGATTCTGTCTGGGTCCAAAGTTAGCATCAAAGGACACTTCAGTGGTTTTAATTAACTTGTTTTAAAGTTTGTTGTTGTTGTTGATTAGCTGGGAAGTTCTAGCTTATCTTACTGGTACCCTGAAATGTCCTCAGTAACATTAGATCCAGACATGAAGTTTAGATCCAGCTATTCTGATTTCAGTTTGAGTTGGAATTTTAGAACAACTTTTCAGTCTTAAACAGAACCTCACTGTCCTTAGACGAAGCTAACTGTGGGCCAGAAGACAACTCCAGCTGTGCTAAACCAGAACCAGCAATACAAACACAAGCTCACAGCCTGGCATCAGAAGAAGGCAATTCTGAATCCTGGAATCAACATCTAAACCTGGACAGCTGAACACGTTTCAGATTTACAGTTTCAAGAGATTCTGCTTCAATTATTAATCTGCACCTTTCCTGATAACGACTGATCTGTGATAACGAGGTGATTAATCTGTGATTAAAAAATAAACCTCAGAGACGAGAAGCAAAAACTCACCTCCGCTCGGTTCAGCATCAGATCCACTCTGAGGGGAGGAGGAGGAGGGAAGGGAGGGAGAGAGGGGAGGAGCTACTGGAGCTCCCTGTCCAAACCAGTGGACTGGACCTGGGACAACCACGGAACACGTAGATCTGATACTAATGTTCCAGGTGAGTTCTACAGGTGATGGACTGATGTGTTCCAGGTGAGTTCTACAGGTGATGGACTGATGTGTTCCAGGTGA